TTTCCCTCCTTTCTTATCCCTCATTTCCCACGCCTCTCCATTCCCCTCTCCTTACCCTCCCTTGCCATCCCTCCTTCCTCCTCTTTCCCTTCTCCCTCCTTTCGTATCCCCTTAATCCCTCCCTCCCTCTCCCTTCCTCTTTCCCTCCCTCCCTCCCTCCCTCCCTTACTCCTTACCTCCCTCCCTCTTCCTCCCTGTTTCCCTTCCTCCCTCCCTTCCTCCCTCCCTAACTCCTTACCTCCCTCCCTCCCTCCCTGCCTCTCTCCTTCCTTCCTTCCCTTAATATGCTTTTTCCTCTTTCTCCTTACCTCCCTTCTACGGAGTTTCGGAACGCAGGATTGTAATGGCCGCTGATAATCTAGAATGTTCTTTTGGATTCATTAACCTGATTACTTATGATTAAACGGTCCCGGTTTTACGAGTCCGTTCTACGAGTCCTTCCTCCTTGGTCCAGTGGCTGTTGGTCCCGCTCCTCGCCATCACAGATAGACAGATAGATAGATAGATGCGTGATTAGGGGATTCCTTTTCGTTGGTATTGTGGTATTGTGGTGTCCTGGGATTTTTTATTTATTTATTTATTTTATTTCTTTTTTTTTTGTGTGTGTGTATTGTGGTGGTTTGGCCCGCTGGCATTGTGATGGTCTGGCGTTCAGAAATTTTTGTAGTTTGGTATACTGATGTCCTGGTATTCTGGTGTTGTGGTTCGCTGGTATTCTGGCGTTTCGGGTATGCTGGTGTTCCGCGGTGTATTGGTGCTCTGGTATGCTGGTATTTCGGCTTTCTGTTTTGAATGTTGCAGTACCAGTTAACGATCACTTTTATGTCCCTGTCTCTTTTTTTTTTTGTTTGTTTGTTTTTCGTTCCTTTTGCATGCACTGCCTCTTTCTCTTCCTCCTTTTATATCTACTGTTTCTTATGTCTCCTGTCTTTATCCGTTGCTCTTTCCCTGCCCCCTCTTTAGCCCTCTTACTCTTCCTTGATCCCTCTTTCTAACCTCTTGTTCCTCTTATCCCCACTTTCTCCCATCTCCCCCCTTCTTTGGCCCTCTGTCCCACCCACCCTTTTCCTTTGGTTCATTCTTCCCCTTCTCTCTTCCTTTAGCCTCCTCTCTCCCAGTCCCCTCTTTCGTAGTCCTACTCTTCACCTCTCTTTCCTTCCTTCTTTCCTTCCTAGCTCCACATTTCCCCCATTACATCATCCTTGAACCCCTTCCTTCTTTACCTCCTTCCTTAACCCCCCCTTCTCTTCCCCCCTCTTCGTTACTCCCTCCTTCCTATCCCCTACCCCCCTTCTCCCACCTCTACTTTCATTCTCTGTCATTTAGTATTTTGAAAACGAAATGAGATTTTTTTTTTTTTTCTATTTTTTCGATAAAGAGTTTAGATGTGTAATGGCACCTTGAGTACCTTTGATTTATATAAGTAAAGTAAGTAAGTAAAGTATAAGTAAGGTAAAGTAAGTAAAGTATAGAGATAGATGGCAGATTTGTGAAATTTAGTTCAAAATATACGACTCAATGTCATCGGAAAATATATTATCATGATGAAATTATTATGATGACATTATATAACTGTAATGAAGTTGACATTTAGACCACATCTTTTATGCATAAATTTCAAATGTGCAAGGGAAAGGTCAACAGCGATTTTTTTGTTTCCCTGCATTATCACTTGATGTTATATGGCCATTATTATTATCATTTCAGAGTAATTTTCTTATGGGTGCAGTCATTATAATGTACGGCCATTTTGTGCAATTGTTTTTGGTAAAATATAATTTGAAATGAATGAAAATCTCTCTCTTTTTCGTACTCTCTCTCTCTCTCTCTCTCTCTCTCTCTCTCTCTCTCTCTCTCTCTCTCTCTCTCTCTCTCTCTCTCTCTCTCTCTCTCTCTCTCTCTCTCTCTATCTCTCTCTCTCTCCCTCCCTCCCTCCCTCCTTCCCTCCTTCCCTCCTTCCCCCTTCCCCTCCCTGTCCCTCTCCCTGTCCCTGTCCCTGTCCCTCTCCCTGTCCCTCTCCCCCACCCTCCCTTTTTCTCTCTTTCTTTCTCAGTGTTCACCCCGGTACAATATATGCCGTAGTATGCTGTGCTCTTTGTAACAAGATAAACCTTTTCATGATGGATATTTTTTTTACCATTATCCTATTGTTTTCGCCATTATCAGCATTTACCAAAAACTCCCATCTCATCTAATGCATCCTAGTCAGAACACGTCATATCCAAAGGTACTAGTAAGGAAGTATCCTACCATCCTCCCTATCAGAATGCAACCTAATAAGATAGCAAAAAAGAAAAGAAAATTATAATAATAATAGATAATATATAATTATTATTATTATAATAATAGATAAATAGATGAATAAGATCCTAAGGATAATAAGCTAAGGATTCCCGGATTTCTCCCGACTGCATCTCCATCGCCCCGCCCTTCATCTCCTCCCCCCAGGCCTGCTCCAGCGCGGCGACGGCTCCACCCTCAGCTTCCGTGAGGCTCCCCG